CTCCAACCTGAAGCCAGTGATTCCAGCTCATTTACTTCCTTCCAAACTATCTCGATGCTCCTAACTTCGAGACCTAACTTCGTCAACAAAGGAAATGCCAAACATACAGACCGAGGACAAACTGTCAATCACGGAGACTGTAGCTTCACGGGGTACCTTAACTTCCAATTACCCTGTGTGGGATGCTTAATCTATGGCGATTGACCTCTTTTTAAGACTTACTAATTTGTGTGTATGAGTATTTTGCCTGTTTGTATGTGTGTGCACCATGTGTGGGCCTGTGCCCTTCAGAGGTCAGAAGGGAGCTAGGATAGAATTACAGCTAGGAACTGCGCAGGATTGCTGGGAACCTCGCTCCCAGCAACAAGTGTTCTCAGCTGCTAAGTCAATTCTCCAGGCCCTCTGTCATGTTCACTAAAAACTCAGGTGGCTGCTATTTCCAAAACTGAATAGTCTGTCCCACAGCTGGTTTTGCTATATTTAGTACTTGACAAAATAACAACATTTAAAGGCCTTTTTTAAAAGGCCTTTGCGCCCTCATACTCAAAAGGGTTAATGACATAAGAAACCCAGTACACCAGGCTTTGCCTTTCAGCTAAGCATTGCGAATGTCCTTTCTTCAGCTAAGCATTGCGAATGTCCTTTGTGGCTTGTCTTCCTAATCCAAATGTTAAAACCAGTGCAAACACCTGTCACATTTTCCTGTGATACCGTCACATCTACTTATAGGTCCAACTCAGGCGCTGGTACCATTATAATTGTTGAAATTCTCATCCAGGCAGAACTGTGGGTACCTTTAAAGGTGGCCCCTTTCAGCTCAGTACCCGTCTAATTTCTGGCTGAGTGTATTGTAAGAATGAATCCCAGGGTTTCTCTCAAAGACTTAATAAGATTTGAAAACCATATTAAATTATACAGTATCTAAACAAATGCATATTCTAGGAAATAAGCTGACTTAGAAGGTTAAATAGCAAACTGAATTTATATCTCAATCTAGAAATTCACATTTTTGGTGATAATTGGCCTCTCTGACACAGAGCAAACCTCACCCAGCACTTTCCAATTCTTTTTCTCCAACTTCTTGAGAAAGCTTCATAAAAGTACTCAGCAAATCATTTGATTCAAGCAAAAGCTGCTACTAACATCTATTAACATACAACTGGAATTCTATGCCCTTAATTTTAAGTAGGATAAAACAGTGATGTTTGCTGCTGTGACCTCAGATCTCACTGTGTAATTCTTCAGAAGAGCAGCTGGAGCAATCTAGCATTTCGGCAAAAGCAGGTGGATCTCTGAGCTTGAGGCCAGCTAGGCCCACATAAGTGAGAGCCTGTCCCAATCCAAAAAAAAAAAAAAAATTTAAGCTGCAAAATTCCCATCTCCTATATTCAATCCTTCATATTAGGCAAACTGCTTAAAAGCCTGTAGCCAGGAGGCAGGACAGAGGTAACAGGCTGTCTTCATGGAGTGACTGAGGACAGAAATCAACAACACACATGAGCACTTATTACTTCTTAAGCTCTCAAGGAACTTCTTATCGGCAAAAAATAAATAATTCATTCATTTGTAAGAGGCAGGAAAAGCCAGGCAGTGGTGGCACACAGCTCTTATCTCAGCACTTGAGAGGCAGAGGCAGGTGGGTCTCTGCTGAGTTTGAGGCCAGCCTGGTGTACACAGCACGTTTCAAGCCAGCTAGGAACAAACAATAAGGGAAGTGGGGGGAGGGGACAAGGAAGCCAAAATCAGGCTGACGGGGGCTCATACCTGTCACACTGACTGAAGTGGAAGCAACTTTCAAATGTGAATGCTCCACAGGTTAACACTTACACACCGGCTAAAGGCAGGTAATGTGCAAACCCACCCACACCCCAGAGTACATTTTCAATTACCAGACACACAGAAAACAATCTAAAATGAAGAGATCCGATTTAGAGTGTAAACAACCAAGTCTACAAACCGACTGACTCTCACTTGGGGTCTTGAGGTAAGGAACCCTAATCCCATTCTCAGCCTTCCTTCATCCTTTAATCTCTTTCCTTAAAAACAAAAAAACAAACGAGACTCCACACTAGGGTGTAAGGAATACATACATTCATTCAGAGCCAACAGCACTTAGCCTCAACCGCTTTTAAGCTTTGGAACTCTGGAGCCTGGAGATGCCTCAGCTTTGGAAGAAGACCCCACACCTGTCATCTCACAATCACCTATAATCCAACTTCAACAGATTCAAGACCTTCTGGACTCTGCAGGAACCTGCACTCACAACCTACACACACACACACACGCACGCACGCACGCACACACACACACACACACACACACACACACACACACACGCACATTTTAAACTATTACCATCTATAAAAATCTTCCAGGTCCATCAGGATGGCTCAGTTGGTAAATGCACTTACAGCCAGGAGTTTGATCCCTAGCACCCAGAGGGTAGTAGGGCAGACTTGACCTCCACAGGAAGCACTCTGTGAAAGGCACAGGCTAACACACATAAATAAATGTAAATAGATCTTCCAAACTGTCTTCTAATGATTACTTCAGAATTTAAACTGAAAAGTATTCCAAATGCAAGAACCTTTACATTAGAGCAATTTCATCTTGAAAATCAGATTATATTTAAGCATGAAAAATCATCACGCCCTGTCAACTAAGCTTCAAGTACTGTTCAGATTCTCAGTGAGTCAACACCTTACTTAAACAGCTGTTCACCCATCTTAAAAGCTCCCCATGCCGGCCAGGGGAACACAGCAAGTGCTTAAAAATATTATTTCCCTGTGCTACTATTCAATCAGACTTCTAAGGGTGACAACACAGAAGACGCTGTCTTTAGTGACCATCAAAGGTGGGTTCTTTTCTAACAGGACAGGTGAAGTCACCCGCTACCTTTTTACAAGCCACCATTTTCAAAGTAAAGGATGACAACCTCAAGTGTGACAATCTCCCACAATCCCTACCAGCTAACTCAATCTTCTCACCAAACATAAGCAAACATCGGGGGTAGCAAGTTAACCATAGCTTTAAATCATTTCCTGTATCCTTGAGGGGAACCCCCCCAAAAAGGCTACAGGAAATCTTCAAGTAGCCTTGTGAGTAAAAAGCTCAAATTCAGAGCAGTTCAGCTAAGTGAGCAAAGAATTTCAGTCTTACACCCACGAGCACTCACCCCAGACACTCACCCGTTAGAGTTGCACCGAGCATCAGCCATCACTCATTAAAGTAACTTGAGAAACTAGCCTAACACCCACGTCCTTTCTTACCTCTTTAAGAGCCTTGTTGTTATGACATTTTGGCAAGAATCAGATCTTAGAACTCATACAATGACAACTTAAAAAAGTAGGGACTTCAATATTAAATTATTACCATAAGGCTTTGGGCTTCCAAAATCCAAGTCTAAATACTTTACTATTAAACACAGTTAACTGATACTATTAACCCGCCCGCCAGATTATACATACTCTCACTCAATCATGTAAAGAATTGAATTCTTTATTTGTGATATCCATAAACGTTGCTATTCTATGTTTCTATCCAGGAAGGCAATTTTCTCCTATTATCAGGTTTTTTTTTTTTTTGTTTTTGCTTTTTTATAAACAACAACTTGAATTCTATTGCATGAAGGGCTACAAATACACGTTAACCAAGCAGAATACATATAGTTTGTTTTACAACTTGCACCTAAAACCCCAGCGCACACAGATGCTTCAGTGGCTATCAGAGCAGTTTGGAGCTACTGCTCAAGCTATGCATTGCAGTTCTTACAAATCTCATGTAGAAAAAAGACTGATAAGGGCTGTTAACTACATTCCCGTGAAGCCCATCTCAGTTACAATGTGGGACTTTCAAGTCTGCACAGACTTCTGACGGCAAACTGCTAAATCTGATGAATTGTCCTCAACAAATTCCTTTTACCCAGCGGTCTTGCAGCTATACTGCCAGTCTGCCAGTAGATGGTGCTACATAGGTTGGACTTCAAAGGACAAAGTTCAGATTTAGGAAAGAAACGGTTTTAAACCTGCTCTGAAAATACCAAAAAAAAAAAAAAAAAAAAAAAAAAAATCACTTGGTGTTAGGGTAAGCATAACCCTTATTTGTAACCATTACAGACAAACCAATAAGGATGAAACTATGTCATCTAAAAAAGTTTTCAACAGTTTTATATGAATGAGAACACATGCTTAAACACAAACTATTTCTTTTAAAACTACACAGTACATACTTAGAAGTGACCAACCATGTCAAGAACATAAGCAAATCGCTTATTACAAGGAGATGGATGCACGGAAACTTTAACAGGCACACCTACCACTTCAAAGTTTGACTGTAAGGGGTAAATCCAACACATCGCTAGCTGGGCAACAGGAAGGAAAAAAGGAACCCACAAGACCTCGTTTTTAAGTTTTCAAAGTACACGTCACAAACTAACAAAAATATCCTTTAAAACGGTAAGGAGTGGATCCTAGGAAAAAAAATGTTAGACATGTACGGTCAAACACAATGATTTATTAAAAATAAAACGTAAAAATGATTTTTGTACATATGCTTCCAAATTTCAGGCATGGGATCCAAGTAGGTTTCATAGAAAACGCTGTAGCCAGGTATCAAGTCCTTACAACAAAGTAAACTACCCCTCCCGCCCAACCCCCACCCAGCTTTTTGCTACAGAATCAGCAAGTTCACTCCCGCCCTCCCACCCCGCCCTCCCACCGCCCCCCCTCCGAAAAAAAAAACACAAATTAAAACAAGACATTTTGCTAGTATAAAAACGACCAAGGTCCAAGTAATAATAAAAAAATAGAGTCCATCAATGACTGTAACACAAAAGTGTGTGTGTGTGTGGCCGAGTCCACCTTCCGGGGGGGGGGACGGGAGAGCGGGCGGGCGGGCAGGCAAACGGGGGGCGCCCCCCGGGAAAGCGGCTCGCCCGAGGGCGCCCGGGCGCGGGAGGTTGGGGTGGGGGTGGAGAAGCGAGGCCGCCGCCGCCGCCGGGCATCCGGGCTCGGCTTCTAGAACGAGCCTCCCCCGTAGCCGCCGCCGCCGCCGTAGCCGCCCCTGTACGGTCCACTGTTGCTGCGGCCGCCCCAGCCGCCGCCGCCGCCGCCGCCCTTCATCGGGCCGTACGAGGACTGGTGCTGGCTGTAGCTGCCGAAGCCGCCGAAGCCGTTGCCGTAGTCGCTGCCGCCGCCGCCGCCGTACGAGCCGCCGCCGCCGCCGCCCCCGTAGGCGCCGTAGCCCCCGTAGCCGCCGTAGCTGTTGTAGCCGCCGCCGCCGCCGCCGCCCTTGGCCAGCCCGTTCTGGTCTCGGCCGCCGCCGCCGCCGCCCCCGCGGCCCCGGCCGCCGCCGCCGCGCCCGCCCCGCGCCGCCCGCGCGCCCCCGCCGCCCGCGTGGATATCCTCCTTGGGCACCGCCTTCTTCACCTCCACGCGGTGGCCCTGGATCGGGTGGAACTTGACCACGGCCGCCTTGTCGGCCGCGTCGTGGCTCTGGAAGTACACGAAGCCGAAGCCGCGCTTCTTGCCCGACTGCTTGTCGGCGATGATCTCCGCCTTCTCCACGGCGCCGAACTGCGAGAAGTGCTCCACCAGGTCGCCCTCCGCCACGTCGCCCTTGAGGCCGCCCACGAACAGCTTCTTCACCTTGGCGTGCGCGCCGGGCCGCGCCGAGTCCTCGCGCGACACGGCGCGCTTCAGCTCCACCGTGTTGCCGTCCACCGCGTGCGGGGACGCGGCCATGGCGGCGTCCGCCTCCTCCACGTTCGAGTAGGTCACGAAGCCGAAGCAGCGGGAGCGCTTCGTCTGGGGGTTCACCACCACCACGCAGTCCGTCAGCGTGCCGAACGCCTCGAAGTGGCCGCGCAGCCCCGACTCGCTCGTCTGCACGTTCAGGCCGCCGATGAACAGCTTGCACAGCTGCGAGTTCTCCATGTCGGACGCCCGGGCCCTGCCCCCGCCCTGCGCGCTCCGCGCCGCCGCCGCCGCCGCCGCCGCCGCCGTTAGCGGCCGCCGAGGCCTCGTCCGAGCCCGGGCCCGGCCGCCGCCGCCGCCGCTGCCGCTGCCGCCGCTGCCGGCGGGGAAGGGGCGGGAGGGGCGGGCAAGGGGCGCGCTGCCGGCCCGAGGGCGAGCCGAGGACGCTGGAACCCCACCAGGGCAGCCGCGGCCGCCACCTCCGCTCCCCTATCAGGGCACCACACAAAGAGGCCGCTGAAGGCGCGCGCACCCTCCCCGCGCCGTGCGTCACGGGCGACGTCGGCACGCCGGCCAATCGGCGCCGCGCTCGCCTCGGCCCCGCCCCCCGGCCCCGCCCCGCGCCGCAGCGCCGGCGGCTCCGGGCCGCGGCCTCCCCGCCCTCCGCGCCCGCCCGCCCTCCGCGCCCGCCCGCCCTTCCGCCTCCGCGCTCGCCCTCGGCGCGGCCCCGCCCGCCCCGCCCGGGAGAAGCCCCCCGCCCCACCACCGCCCCCCGCCCCGAGCCGTCGGCGCGCGCCCGCGGAGCGTTTCCTGCCCGCCGCGCGGCTGTTCCCTCCCGCAGCCTGCCCGCCCTCCCCGCGCCGGATGCCCCCGGCCCAGCTCCGCAGGGGCGTTCGCGCCAGCCCCTTGACGGACGTGCCCGGCCAGCCAATCACCGCCGGGGGCTCGGGCCCACTTCCGCTCTCCGCGGCCGCGGGGCGGGCGCGCTCCGCTTACGCGCCGGCCCCGCGCCGCCCGCACGCGCCGCCCTCGCGCGCCCTCGCGCCTCTCCCGGCCGTTCCCAACGGACCCGCCCGCCCCGGACCCCGCGCGGGCTCTTTGAAAACGTGACTGTTGGCGCCGGCCCGACCTGGGCACAAAGAGGGAGGCCCGGCCTGGCCCGAAGGCGGTTGCTGGCCGTTTAGGGTGCGCTGCGGGCCCGCCTGAGCCGCTGGGCCTCCGTGCCCCGAGGCCGAGCCCGGGTGAAGGGACAACGCCGGGGCGGCCCGCGCCCGGCCCGCGCTGGCCGCAGCCACGCCCGCCCCCGCCCCCCGCGCACGCGCGGCGCCATCTAGGCGCTGCTCTGAGTTTTTGAGGCTGGCCTCGAACTCGCGGGATGTTAGCCTCCCCAGTGCTGCACCGCGAGCATGTGGTGTGAAGGCGTTCACACTCTTATCCTACCGCGTGCTCGCCACCAGCCCCTGGGCTGTGTCCCCGGCCCCCTCGCCTTCGCCCCTTCCCTCCCGCGGGACCCTCGTGGCCTGCAGCAGTTTGCTCCCCGCTTCCACCCCCTGAACTAACGGCCAGCTCCGTACAGGTGGGCGCGCTGCCATTTTGCCTGCTTCCAGCGTCTTACCCGCACATAAACAACTGTCCCTTACTGTGTTTGGTGTCCACAGACAAGACCTCGGTTTCCACAACAAGGGAATGCGCTTTGTTTTTGTTTGTTTGTTTGTTTGTTCCCCCCCTCCATTTTAAGGTAATAGAACTAGGAGGCTGAGGACATGACCCAGTGAGTGCGACCACTTGCTTCCAGAGGACCAAAATTCTGTTCTGATTACTCTCTCCCATGCCTGTCAACCCATCTCTCATCACCACCACCATCACATTTTCGGTTTTCAAGACGGGGTGTGTTTTCTGTGTAGCCCTGGAACTCACTGTGTAGACCAAGCTGGCCTCGAACTCACAGAGATCCATCTGCCTCTGCCTCCTGAGTGCTGGGGATAAAGGCCTGCACCTCCACGCCTGGCTAGCCAGGTCTGTCTTTTGACTACTGGACTGGAACTATCCCATAGAGCCTGGAGGGGTCACGGATGGGTTCACAAAGGCAACAACCCTCACTTCTTGACTCTGTCAGTAGCAAATAGGTGGAAAGTGAGAGCAGGAACCCTGTGGTCCCATGCCATCCATGGCTCGTGCGGATGGGTCCATTCGTGTGCAGACCTCTTAGAGGCACCCGCAGCTGTGTAAGTTGTGATTACATGGCTAGGTCTGGCTCCTAGGTCCCCATTCCCTGGGCCGTAGAGGGCATTACATCAGATTCTATCATGGGCCTCAGTAAACTCCACAAGACCTGCAGCTATGCCCTCCTAGGCCACAAGAGCGGTACTTCCCGCTGTGCTCTAGAGAGGGTGACTTCCTGCTGTGCTCTGGAGAGGGTGACTTCCCACTGTGATCTGGAGAGGGTGACTTCCCGCTGTGCTCTGGAGAGGGTGACTTCCCGCTGTGCTCTAGAGAGGGTGACTTCCCACTGTGGTCTAGAGAGGGTGACTTCGCACTGTGGTCTAGAGAGGGTGACTTCCTGCTGTGGTCTAGAGAGGGTGACTTCGCACTGTGGTCTAGAGAGGGTGACTTCCCGCTGTACTCTAGAGAGGGTGACTTCCCACTGTGCTCTAGAGAGGGTGACTTCCTGCTGTGGTCTAGAGAGGGTGACTTCGCACTGTGGTCTAGAGAGGGTGACTTCCCGCTGTGGTCTAGAGAGGGTGACTTCCCGCTGTGCTCTAGAGAGGGTGACTTCCCGCTGTGCTCTAGAGAGGGTGACTTCCCGCTGTGGTCTAGAGAGGGTGACTTCCCGCTGTGGTCTAGAGAGGGTGACTTCCCGCTGTGGTCTAGAGAGGGTGACTTCCCGCTGTGGTCTAGAGAGGGTGACTTCCCACTGTGGTCTAGAGGGGGTGACTTCGCGCGCTGTGGTCTAGAGAGGGTGACTTCCCGCTGTGCTCTAGAGAGGGTGACTTCCCGCTGTGGTCTAGAGGGGGTGACTTCGCGCGCTGTGGTCTAGAGAGGGTGACTTCCTGCTGTGGTCTAGAGACCGGTGACTTCCCACTGTGGTCTAGAGAGGGTGACTTCCCGCTGTGGTCTAGAGAGGGTGACTTCCCGCTGTGGTCTAGAGGGGGTGACTTCCCGCTGTGGTCTAGAGAGGGTGACTTAGCACTGTGCTCAGGTTGGCGTGGTGAGTCAGCTGAGACACACGCCCTGAGCTGCCTCCCCTGGTGCTGCAACATCCGCCCCAGTGAAGTTTGTCTCTGGTGCTCTTCTCTTACCCAGTTTTAGTGGTGCAGCTGGCCTGGCCAGAGGACAAGAGGGATGGCAGGCAGCAGTGTCACGTGAGCAGTTAGAGGCTGGTCTTGGAAAGCAAGCCCGCCAGCTGCTCCCCCAAAGTCAGGGACACCCCAGGGGCGGGGCTGAAGGAGAGGAGGTTGAGAATGAAGAAGAGCTATAAGGAGCAGCAGACCAGAAAGGACAGGCTCTGGTCACCCGGAGAACTCTATAGCGCTGTCCAGCCTTTAGGGACAAGGGTCTGCGACACCCAGGCCAACAGCTACAACTCTAGCTGCTGTCAAAGACGGAGAGACACATCCTCCTTGGCCCAGCAGCTGAGGCCTGCAAGGGGACTGACGCTAGAGGGTGCCACACGCTGCAGCTCTTCCCACCTGCATGCTGCCCAGGCTTCTCCTCCACTTCCCACAATCCCTATACCGTGTGGTGCAAAATAACCCTTCAGCCAGCTAACTGGTCAAAGGTGGTATAGGGTCCACCAGCAACAATCCGGGCTCCACAGCCCAGTGGTCAAAACTAGAGCTGAATGCAAGGAAACAAATTCAGTACCAGGGAGCTGTCATACTGAGCAGATTGTCTAGCATTGGGACCCTAATGGACAGGACACAATTGCCTGGTCTCTACTTGTGTCTAGACAGTTGTCCACTGGAATCTTAATGCCTCAGACCAGCGGTTCTCAACCTGTGGGTGGCAACCCCTCTGGGATTGCCTAAGACCATCGGAAAACACAACTATCACACTACGATTCATAACTGTAGCGAATTATAGCTATGGAGTAGCAATGAAAATGGTTTTCTGGTTACCACAGCAAGGGTTACAGCATCAGGGAGGATGGGAACCCTGCCTCATGTTAAACAGAACTTTCTGAATCCCTACAAGGATCAGGAAAGTTTTGCTGGGTACAAATTTTCTCTGAGACAGAGCCTCCCACCTTTAAAGGAAGGCCGTAAGATGTAAGTGAAGCTTTCTGTCCTGCAGGGACAACTCAGTAACTCCAGGAAGTGCCTGAAGTTACCCCATCAGCAGGCTCTGCCTCCCCTGAGGAAATATAAGCAGTAAGAGCTGCTGAGAGGGGACTCTCAGACCAGTGGAACCACCTGGAAGATGGTCTCCTGAGCTGCCGCAAGTTGTGCTGTGAGCTCCCGGTTCCCGGCTTCCCTAGCCATCACCCGTTCTTGTGTGGGTACTTGGTGGTGCCGGTGTCTTTGAGGCAAGTCTGCTTCTAAATGTAAGCCCAATAAAACTCATTGGTTCACTAAGTTGGACCTGGGTGATGGCTTTGATTGTTGCTTCCCTGTGCAGAGTGTGTAGTTTTCTCAGGAATATCATCACAGAGCAGGTATATCATATGGCAATCTTTCAATTGAAGAAACCAAGGCTATCACCACCTTAAGCTGCCCAAGTTCTATTATCTGTATTTCCTATACCTGCTTTCCTATACATAAAGGGTTAAACCAAAGACATACACTAGATTGGCAGTGGAATAAATCATGCTCACATCTCTATGAATCCCTTTGCTTCTTAAATTTAGAAGAGTTAAGAATCCAGTGAACAGATTGTCACTTTGGTATCATTAATGTTTGTGGTGAGAGATCCACTCCACCTGCTCCTGTTGCACTGACCACGCCCACTGGGTGTGGGCGTGACCTGGGGGGACTAGGTCCGGGGTCCCAGACCACAGCTCGCTCTCTTGCTTTCTGGTCACAGACAGAGAGCATCCAGAGGCATCCTTGGGACAGGAACCTGCGGTCATCTGTTTCTAGTGTAAGTGATTTCTCCCCGAATAAGCATCCGTCAGCCTGTCGTTTCCCAAATTCTTATTTACCACGCTAGGAATGTGCCTAGCTAACTGCATCCGAGGGTAATGGTAGAGTTTGTCAATCATTAGCATAAACAGCAGTGCCATAGGTTTTACCCCCTAGTGACACTGGGGCTGTTTAGTGTTAATTAGTGTGAGTAATTCTATGTGTTTGCACACTGAAATCACCTAATGAAGCCCTTCTTAGAAAGTGACACATCCCTGGGGCTTAGTGATGCATGACTGTAGGTCAAAACATCACTTGATCAGAGAAAACATTTACTGTTTGACCCCAGTTTGAATCTGAATATTTGATAAAGGAAAAATCAAAATACAGAGTATCAACCTCAGCGTCTTGTTTATAAGAGGCAGAAGCTAGAGTCCATCCCAGCCCTCTCCCCTATCCCTACATTCCCAGACAGTCAAAGCCAACACCCAAGCTCCTGTCAAACCCAGCAAGGTTTGCCTGTGCCATCTCTGTTGTTTCGTGGCGTCCCCAGAATCAGATGGTGCCCTAGAAATGGTCAGCTTTGCCCAAGGGTCATAAAGAGATCATGAGATGGTGATCAATCTTATTTATTTTTCAGACAGGGTCTCTTTACACAGCTCTAGCTATCCTGGAATTCTCTACATAGACCAGGCTGGCCTTGAACTTACAGAGATCTACCAGCCTCTGCCACCTGAGTGTTGGGATTACAGGTTGAGCTACCACACCTAACAATGAAGAATAAGACTTTAATCAAATGCCTGTTGGAAGTTTGTGACCAGGGTATTGTGGGAATTTGGGGAATCTATGTGCTAAAATTGTAAATGTTTTGTTAGCCTTCCTGCTTTGAATGTCATCTGTACCCCTACCTTCAGAGCTATCTGATGCCACCAGCTTCTAAAGTCACCTGAAGTTTTGCAGACCCAACTAGCCACCTCAGGACTTGGGGTTTCTCTGGTTTGTTAATTTCCAGTTCCTTCCTGCTTATCAGATTCCAAAACTGTGTTCACAGTCTGCTGTACTGTTCCCTGTCCAGAAGAGAAACATAATCACTCTGCCAAAGCTAATGGCTATTCTTGGTTGTCAACTTGACTACATCTGCCAAGCAGCTGGGCACATCTGTGAGGGATTTTTTTTCCCTTAAGTCATTCGAAATGGGGGGACCCACTTTTTATCCAGATCTGTTGCACAAAATACAAACCAGTATTCCTCAAAGGGCATTGTCGAGAAAACACAGAGGCAAAGTCACCAAGTAGAGAAGGCACTTGTAACCCATGCATGATGAAAGTCTTGTGGTGAGAATATGGAAATGATTCTCACAATTTAATGATGAGAAGGCAGAAATAAAACATTTAAAAATGGACAAAGACCATAGAATACACAAGATGATAGAAGAATGTCCACTGGCACATGAAAACATACTTGATATAATTAGATTTCTGGGAAATTAGAATGACAGGCTTGATGAGAGTCATCTACATGGCCATTAGAGTTTTTTAAATCTGGGCCACACCTCCGCTGGCAGCCTGTACAAAGGACATGGAAGAAGGAAGCTCCCTCCCTTTGCCTGCCCGCTCTCGCTCTTGCTGGTGAGTTCTTTCCTCCACTGGCACCAGAGCCTGCTTCTTCGAGACTCCGTTGTGTACTGAAGGCCAGCTGAGACATCCAGCCTCACGGACTGAGCCACTACCAGATTCCTGAATTTTCTATTGGTATTCAGCCATTGTTGGACTAGGTGGGCCACAGCCTGTAAGCAACTCTAATAAATATACAGTCTTTAAGTGTCAGTGGCCAAGTCAAAGTAGCCAAACCCCGGAGAGGCAAAGCCCCAGGGAGAGGGAGGGGGTGTCTACAGAATTCCCCCTGCTTGCTGCCGCCATGTTCCTGTATTTGGCGTGGGGTGATTACTATGTGAAAGGATCCTACTGTATCTAGTACAGTGTGATTGTTTCTTGGGACAATCCCACTCCTCAATGGGCAACTTACTGGCAAATCACAATGGAGATGATTTTTGTAAGAGCAATGAGGATTAGTTAGCTCTATGATTTCATTAATTGGACTTTCTGAGTTAGTCTAATAGACACAGGTGATTAGGACAGTTAGTAAAGATGATTAAGGACTGGTTTGGGCTATTTTTCCAGTTGTTCCAATAAGAGATTTATAAAAAAAAAAAAAAGGCAAAAATAGGCTAAAAGTCACTGGAAGTGGTGGCAAACACCTCTAATCCCAGCACTCGGGAGTCAGAGGCTGGCAGATCTCTAGACTTCGAGACAGCCTGGTCTAAAGAGTTCCAGGACAGCCAAAGCTACACAGAGAAACCGTATCTCAAAAAACAAACAAAAAAGGCTAAAAGTCACCTTCCATTTGTCAGATGTGAGATTTGTAGAAAATGAAAAATAAGAACAACGAAGTTTCATGCATTACAGACCCATGAAGTCTGCTTATGAAAAAATAGACCTGTAATAAAGAAAACAATTATGTCCCTACACCCCAGGTTCCTTGGTCATGTAACTTACAGAATTAATCACAGGCCCCAGGGAATTCGCCTTGAAAAAACAAAGTTGTAAAGAAATGAAATGACCCCACTGTGTATAAAGGAAACTAGATAGCAAACTGGCCAATTACTTGAGGTTTTGTAGAGTACACACAGGCTAGGAATCTGCTACCCTGAAAGGGCAAAGTTACTTGCCAGTACAAAGGAACTGATTGAGATACACTTGGCTTGCTTGAAACTGAGTTAATCCATAACAAAAGAATGTCTGCTTCAGAGCAAAGAAAAGAAGAAACCGAAACGG